ATCTTCAAAATTGACAACTTGAACACTGTTTACTTTTAAGCTCTTTTTATCCTCAACTAGAAAATCCTCGAGGATTTAACTACATCTAATGAAATCAGTCAGCACAAGTTTAGATTAGGTAATGGAAATGGAGTTTTCCAATATGACATCAAAGATAATTGTGAAGAGAGTGAAAATTACAAAAGAAGCAAACTAGTAATATAATTGATAAGAGAAGAGGTTTGCTTACCAGTTGAAGTCTTGAAGATAAAGAATCCATTAGTGTTAAATAGCTATCCATTGAATCGAGGAATTGCAAAACATTCTGGTCTCCTACTACATGTTTTTGCTGTTCTCGTTCTTCTTCTATTAATGCAAATGCTATTTCTCCTTTCCCTTCTTTCTCCTGCTCCTGCATTTCCTTTCTCTTCACTATCCTTGGTACTTTTTCTTACTCCCCCACAGAGATTTAGTTTCAAGACACAAACTTGTTCTCGTCAGCGGCTTAGAAAATTATGGCTTCAAATTCTACTTGCAAGTAAAATTACTTGCAATTTTGGCCATCCAACAGTGGATATGGTAACCACTGAAAAACATAAATTTGAATTAGGAATGGAAGTCCCTACTGATTCTGTTAAAAGCTAGATAATACATTAGTATTGGCACCAGTCTAAATTCAAAAAATCAGATTCAAAACAAGACAACGTATAAAAGCAAAGACTAATTAAATTAGGGCCTATATGCATATTCCTTGGGTACCGTGACATCCATACAATAAATTTTACTAGATTAATTTATTGCAACACCATATTGGAGAGGGAAAAATCAAACACACAAACGAAACCTCAACTCATTGTACATTTATTTTTATTTTCACTCAAGTCGTTGCCAACTTGTAACTTTGCTTTGCAAATATTACCCAATATAACAAATTTGTCCACACAGAACAGGCGACCCTGAAGAACTTGATTCTTTCCATTCCATATGTGATGGAGGTCAGCTAAGAATAGGTATATTCATTTTGTAAGTAGTTTCAGATGGCAATCATTATAAGAGGCATGGATCCCTAAATCTCCTCGTTTAGCTCTTGTTATTTATTATATCACTTAAGAATGACAAGAAGCTTGTTTATGAGATTATTTTGATCAAGCTATTAATTCTCTATGTTTGGCCTTCAGTTGGGTTCTAAGGAAGCTGTGTAAGAAGAATATCAACTTGAAACTAAAAAATAAAGCCATTAAATGTTCTATCACACAAGAAACAATAGAAATGGTCCTATGATGTGAAAAAAAAAAACAGAAGTCTCACCAATCAAGCACACCGCACATTCACCCCCTTTTAAGAGTAACTTTCATAACAAAACAGTGAATGCTGGAAAAAGAAATATCAATTGCAACTGACCATGTAGCTAGGATCTGACTACTCCAACGTTCACAGACAATCAATCTTTCAGACAGACATATGATATAATATTTAGTTTAAAACATTACATTACTTTTCAGTCACCCAACAAGAGTCTGAAACCTTTATCACACTTTGCCAACTAAATCATATCCAGATAAAACTGGTATACATTAACAGAGAGCTAACCCCCATGGTTCACAGGAAAAATCAAATAGGTAATGAACACAACGCGAGCTCTTCTTATGAACGATCACAGCTAAAGACACCAAACTCTGAGAGGTGTTTTAGCAGACATCTTCTAATAAATAAATTTAATATTACAAGTGCAATCCAAATAGAATCTCTAAGGCATTCTAACTAACAATTGAGAGACCAACCCAGAAACAGTTTTCTATTCAACAAAGTTCCAGCGCAAGAGCCCAGCAAGGTGTAAAAGAGAAGAGGAACCAGAAAGTCTTGAAGCCATGATCTTTATAAAACTCGCAACTAAAATATTGAAGGTGAGTGATTTATAGGCTGAAACCTGGTTGAGGAAGAGTGAAGCTTCTCTCTTTTGATTCAAACTATAAGTACCAAAAAGCAAACAAGAATCCCTTACCTTATTCGGGTCTCTCTTCTCTCTGATTTCGTCGTTGACAGAAGCTCACTCCCATGTCCTCTCGCTCTCAAATCACTCCCCTTCTTTCGATCAGATTCCCTCCAAAAAGAAAACGAGAAGAAAGAAAGAAGGAAATGAGAAAAATAAAAGAAAAGTATTGGATTTAACCCATCTAATCTTCCAATCATTCAACGCTCTAAACCCTCTTTTTACCCCCAAATAATCCTAGCCTATTCTCCTAGTAACCTCCAGCTCAGAACCCTAACTATCTAAACCCTTCAGCCCAAAAGATCTGACCCGGCCCGCAAATCCAACCCGATTGTCAAAGCCCAATCGGGCCCATCAGCCCACAGCATTCTTAGTGAAACTCACTTGGGTAGCCAGTCTCATGATTAAAGGAAAAGTTTTGCTTCCCAAAGAGACTGTACGTTTCATTCGCTAAAACATCATAGACCCGTGAAAGAGGAATCCATGAAGTGAACTAGAGAACAGAGAGAAGAGGGGAGAGTTGATTTGGGAAACCCTAGTAAAGGAGGGGATTCTTGTTCTTCTTACCTTCTGGGTGATCAAGAGGGAGAGAGGGTGATGTTGGAAGAATCAGAAGAAGCGATTAGAAAAAGAAGAAAAGCCGATAGGGGGAGAGAAGCTTTAATATTATTATTCTTCTTCTTGAAATCAAGAGGGGAGGCAGAAGCTTTCTGAGAGAGGTGAGAGGAGACACTTCTTCTTCTAGTAAAGGTCAGAATGCAATTAAGAGGGAGGAACAACAGCCAGAAGGAGCTAAAGAAAGGGGGGGATTCTGGGCCTCTATGATTATTACAGGGAACGGTATATTCAAGCTCTCCTTCTTTGGTTCTTGAATATACCAGCGTAGATATAAATTTGAAGATGAATAATTTTCTTTTTCGAAATGATTCACGAGAGGATTAATCTGTTTGTTCTGCGTTCTCTATTAATCTTTTATTTTTTTTTCCTAATGATGTAGAATGATGAGACTATAGAACATACATGATAAACCTTTGATCATGCTTAGATGTTGGCTTGACTTCTCTGGTTGTTTCCTTTCGCATATTGTGTGTTGAAGAAAGTCTTGAAAGAGTCTGACTGAGAATCGCCCAAGAGCCTGTTCCTTGTTTGAGTTAGCAAAACTGCTGTTGTGTGTAATCCTTGTTAGAAAAATCTCATTCCCTATGTTGCAGACAACTATGTGTCTGGAAAGATCTTCCCAAGCCTTGGGTGCTTAAGACATATTGCTGGTTGAAAAGGCAGAAGCCATTGGAGATATTTCTTAAATGTTTCGTTCCCTGTTTTCTGTGCTTTTGCCTTCGCCATGCTTGTGTCTAAACAAGTGCAAGTGTAGAATGCCCTAAACGCTATCCGGGCATAAGGCAGAGGCATCCTGTTTCAAATATGGGAACTTGGTTTGGACTAAATGCATTATCTGATGCATGACTGAATCTATGAAAAATCTCTTTTGTTCATATGAAGGTTGTATCCAAGCGATGGATACTGTGTAGTTAGATGTCTAGGGTAGGTTGGTGCCTATGTTATTTGTTGCATAAGACATGGAATGGAATTCTACTCAGTACAGAACACCTTGAAATGTTTATAAGTTTCATTTTCCTCTTTCTAGAAAAATTTTCATTTCTGTTAGTGTTAAAAAGCAAGAGTCCGACCTGACTATTTAAGCCATATTAGGCCTTGCCATTGAATGCATGAGCCATCCATCCATATTGTCATGCTGCTTGTCAGCATATGCAATTTAAGTAATCTGATTGCCCTATCAAAATTTTACGCTTCCCGTACATGGTTCATCATGGTGCAGATTGTGTTGTAGGGTTTTTATCTTAATTTCTTGATTGCATAAAATGCAACAGACCATCTGCCTCCTAGTGAGGTTTACATTGCACAAGTATTGCATGGCACTTGAATTTATTGGTAAAAAGTTGTTACATTAAGAAGAGAAATGATTGAATGCATCACATTGGATGCATTACCTTAGGCAATGGAAATTGCATGTGGAACACTTTGGAATTGTATCCACCTATGGGTTTAAAAATGTTAAAAAACAGTCCCTCTTCTTTATGATGTCATCTGTTGGAGGTTTGCTCCTTTTGTTGCTTCGTTGGAAAATCACAATGAAAAAGAAATGCCTTATCAGAATATGCAATAAATTGGCAAATCTGTTTATGAATGCACCTTTTTGGCAAGCTGATTGGAGTAAAATTTGTGTGAGGCATGCATGCAATTATGGGTATGGTACTAGGAAAAATTGTACTTGGAAAGAATGAGGAGTCTTTAATTATTCATATATCTTTTTAAGCATGCTTTTAATAAACAACATTTTCAGATTATAAATTGCAAAGGTTGAGTTCATTCAACTGAGAAATGCCCTTGCATGTGGCAAGTGGCATGAGCATGTGCCAAATGTAGTTTGGTTTAGAGACCTGATAAATTTGAGGCAGGAACGTTAGAGTAGAGGCACTTATACTTCTTATGCTGAAAGGCTTTATGACTCATGGTAGGGATTAAACAATGTTTTGACCGAATATGTTGGAATACTTTGTGGCATTTCATGAAAAAATGCTTTATGGTCGGATATTAATCATTAATTGCAGAGAAATGTTGCAAGGAAGAAGATGAAGGAGGTCGCTTTTCTTGTTTTCTCTTTTTATGTATTTATCCTTTTGACTCTTTTTTACTTTGCATGGATCTGGTGCATCGAACATTGATATCTCTTTCCCATACTTGCATGTCGTCAAGACGTAATAAATAGCATGAAAAATTAGGATATAGTTAATTAGTTTACAACACAAGGGGGCTGCTAGCACTTTTTAGCCCTGTAACATTTTGACTTGAATTTTTGGGGTGAGATCGATGTATATATTTTTGGCATTTGATTCTTCTTATGACAGAGTTGATGGTGACTCATTATATTTGAACTTTTTTTTGGAATTTTCGAACCTCGTGGTTGTGAGGAAGAGATCACTTCCAACTCTGCTGGCTATAACCAAGAAACATTCTCTTTCCTTTATCTCTCTCTACACTCATGTTTGCATGCATATTTCTTCCCTTTTTTTTGCGCTACTTAAATTATTGTGCTTTTTTCTGTTCAAGTAATTTAATTAGTTTTATGGAGTTGAATATTAGATGATTATTGCTGCCGTTACCTTTTCCATGATTGGGAGGGATCAAGAGGGGGTGGTTTGGCAGTGATTAGTGCCAGAAAAAACCACCACTGGAGGACTTAAGAACTGCCAGGAAAACTCCTTTTGTTGATCTGTGGGTTAAACAAGCATAAAATCTAGTACTATAATAAAACTCAAGGGATTTCTCAATTTTCTCTTAGGTTTTTTGGTTTTTTTTTTTTGGAGAAAGCTACAGAAAGATTTTTGTAATTTTGTTAATCTACAAATTGTAGCCTCATGATCGAAGAATTTACAATAATTATTTGAAGAAAAATCATCTCTGGAGCTTTGATGGAGGGAATTGTGAAGAAATACCAGAAAAAATTCAAAATGGTCAAAGATGAAATGAACCGATGGGAGGAGCTTCAATGTCGGTTAATTTCACAATTTAGAAACTCTTCTTCAATTATTGAGAGGCTGCAGGTATCAAGAGAGAAAACCCCCAATTTCATGTACATGCATATAAGCTTTCTCCATTAATCTTGCTGCTTCTGCTACTAAGCTGGAAATGCTTGTCCTTGTCAGGTTATTCAAGATTCTAGAAACTATGGTGGCCTGAGTTCTGTTGATGGAATCAAAGATGCTGTCTTGCAGAAGCAGATGGAATCTTTGGAAATTATTTTGCTTTCCATGAAAAAGACATTGTAGGTTTTGTTTCATTTTTGGTTGGTTACCATGACATGTGGGAAAATGAAGTGATTTAGATTTTACATTTGCAGACAGGAGTTTAATAGTATTATTTCGTCCCTTGAGAAAATTCATCGTGACGGAAGACAGCTTGTTAAAGGAGGTTCCAGTAAGCTTGGTGTGAAACAACTGCAGCAACGAGTTGGCATAAAACCATGCCTCGCGGATTGCTTAGATGGCCTTATGCTTCTTTACATTATGCACCAATCGGAGTATGCTATTTTTCAGTACCTGGAACTTTACAGCCTTCTTTAGCTTGTTCTTTCCTGTGCTTTATTTGTCTTATGATGCATAATTAATTATCATATTTACAGTATTTGATGGGTTGTATTTCTAGCAAATTTTTGGCTTTAGTGGTCATTTACTGGACGAGTCTCTGTCACATTAATGTAGAGCAAATGTAGAGATGGTGGATTGTTTTTGAGAAAACTGTGCTGCAAGAGGCTTTTTGTTACATACAAGGCCTCAAATATATGGAGATGAGAGATCTATATTCTATAGCTAGTGGCATATACTTACCCATTTCGTTTTCTTCTCAGGTATCATCTAAAATCATCATTGCTATCAGCTCTTTGTGCCATTTCCTTAAAACCTAGGTATGCCGAACTTGTAAATTTCGATATATCAGTTGGAAGCACCATGTCTTCTCGTGTCATGAATTAATTGTGTCAGATTGTTTTTAAGGGAATTTCTCCATGATATGCCTTAACGCATGACCAAATTAAGTTTGAAAGAGAACTTGGAAAACGAAGGACCAATACTCCACATTTTCTGTTCATCTTGCTTACTTTCAGTTCCTGTTGAAACACCAAAACCTGCTATTGCTTGTGTCATGATTCTTATTGTGATGTTGCAGTGCCAGTGATCTAGGTGTGCTCCAGCAGCTCCTGGTTGATCAACCAAACATCCCCAAAGATGAAGGTAGGAATCTCATTGGAAAGTTTAATTCCTGATCTATTTTATTACTCACACCATGTTAACAGTCTCCGGAGAACAATCTTCTGAAATACATTTTTTCTACTTTACTATCAAAAGAAAAAGTCTCTGGAGAATGTTCTTCTGAAATTAATTTGAGATTAAACTCTTCAAAATGAACCAGTATGATGTTTTGTCTTCAGATTTTCTGTTGAAACCTCTCAAAATCTGAATCTAAGCAGCATAAAAGTTACATTGTATACATAGTTGCAAAAAGTAGTGCTTTAGAGTTAGTTTGCATCTGCTTGTTATTCAGAAACGGTGTTCCTTGCCTCATGGCTACTTGTCTTGAACAGTGCAATGTATCTTCGACATCATATTTGCAGAAGACATCTGTTGATACTGCTTTTGATCAAACGACAACCTTTCTGCGGATTAAGTTCTAATAGCAGAGTGGGGAGGCAAATCTCTTGGTTTATGCAAATGGAGCTTGTGGCATGCTTCGTTTTAGTTTCTTACTGTTCATAGGAGGTTAATCAAACAGAAGTTACAGAATAGACAGTGATTCCCTCATTTTGGTATTACGAATGCGAGCAGAATTCAGAATTCGATCTTAAATTCTCAAGATCTTTACCAGTTTTATTGGCACCGCACTGATTGTATGTTCCTGCTGTTAGGAACAGCAAAAGCTATAAATTTTTAGACTGAGAGGACTTCCAAGTTCCTTGTGTGTATTAATAATAATATAAATATTTAAAAATTGTAATTTATTATTTATTTTTTTTCAAATAAAATGTAAATATAAAAATTAAAATTAAAATATTAAAATAAAATTTTAAACCTTTGAAATAAATTATAATTATATTTTTTCACTATTTATATTTCAAATCAATGAGAAATAATGATTTTGTGGGGGGGTTGACTAGGCAAATGATTGAGTAAAACGCACCGTTTTGCCGTCCCACTCTACTACTCAGTGATGATTACCAGTTAGTTCCCTCCAATGATATTAATGTTTGGCTGGCCGTGGACGCAGACTGTGGACCATTGGGGTTGGTGGCTTTTCATTCATACGTAACGCTTCTCTCTCCAATGACTATTCGCATTTGGGTCAACTCTCTCTCTTCTCTTATGCTAACCTTCATTTCTCTTTCAGCTCCTGTTATTGCTTTCTTCAACCAAGCCCCCTCTATTTTTTATTTTTTTTCTCTTCCAATTACAGGTTTATTATAAACCTACCACTACCCTACGCGCTTTAATAACAGACTTCGAAATTCTCCAGGGGAGAGGCGAGCTAACTTGGTCCATGGAAGAGGAAGAACAATCAACCAATTTTTCTGGATATCTTCTTTGCTCCAGCTGTATACCAATAGCTCTTTTCGGAATCTACAACTAGATATTTAGGGTTTCATTCTTCAAGATTCATTACTTCGGCTTGGGAATTGATATAGGTAAGATTTATGGATCTTTTATTTTGTCTTCCAAGTGTGAGATATTATTGTTGAATGTTTGGTTCACATGATGACAATTAGCAGGAGTAAGTACTTGTTAATTACTGAGATGATTCTTGCTTTTATTGACCCGATTCGTGTGCTTCTCATCAATTGATAAGTTTTAGTACATCTATACTTCCTTTATTAATTAATGAGTAGAGAATATTCCTAAATTAGCTTGGTTTAGTTAAAATTTAATTGGATTTGTTGACTGGCAACGGGTGAGGCTTCACAGAATTTTTGGTTGGAGAGCCACCGTTGGGTTCGCATTTACCTATGCTATTTCAGTTAAGTTTGGGTGATCAAATAGATAGGTGCCCGTTTGAATTCACTTGCATTTGGAAGAAGTGATTTTGAGACTACTGTTCTCAGGCCTGTTGCAATGAGATTGGATGTGTGAAGTTTGTGAAGTGAGATTGATGCTGAACGATTAGCGTTTCAACTAACTTACATATGCTATTTCAGTTAATTTTGGGTGATCAAATAGATAGGTGCCCGTTTGAATTCACCTGCATTTGGAAGAAGTGATTTTGAGATTACTGTTTTCAGGCCTGTTGCAATGAGATTAGATGTGTGAAGTTTGTGAAGTGAGATTGATGCTGAACGATTAGCGTTTCAACTAACTTACCTTATGAATAGTTTAGAAACAGAGAAAGTTTAGCAGACAAATAAAGATGGACTAAGAGGAAATTAGAGATCAAGGTGCTGAAATATATGGAAAAGTATAGTGAATGAGAGGCTAAACAGAATAATAATTAGATGAACGAACACAGAGAAAAATAAAACTGAATAAACTCTAATGAAGAAATTCTTAATTCATCTTCGTCTGTCTTCTTTTTCTTTTCAGTTAGCTATACGAGCTTTTATATAAGCACCATCGATTAATAAAAATTACAGAATAAGAAATCTAAAAGATTCTAATTTAGATCTACATAAATAAGAAACTAAAATATTATAATGTGTAGATAAATTTAAGTAACTTAAAAATACAAAATAAAAATTATTGTAAAAAATTTTTTCCGTTGAAAACTTGCTGAAACAATACCTACCTGTAAAAACTCAACCTCAAGTTTTGAAGTAATAAAACATCAGGATAGGAAAGGCTCAAAAATGCTCTTCAAAATTTTCAAAAACTCGTTACTTTTGCTAATTTCCAGAAAAAAAAAATGAAAATTAACCAAAATTATAAGCCTCTTGGATTATAAAACAATTAGGCAAAATGAAATCACCTAAAGAAATCTCTTTAATGTAGTTATACATGGAAGAAAACCACTTCAATAGTAATAGAATGTAGAACAAGATTGTTGAAAGGAGGAAATTTATCAACATAACTAGCATGAATATAAACAATTTCTACTGGAACCAATGTCTTTTGAACTACCACCCTGATTCGAGAAGAACTTCAAGATTGACTCTTCTAGTTAAGAGAAGCTTTAGTTGAAAAGGCTCCTCATTCTCATTGTTATATTCTTGTACAGTTATTATATATGCAATGTCCGTGTAAAGAATTTTTTAGCGCACACAACCTCTCCAGAACATTTTTGTTAGATACAAGGTTGATTATGTGGAAATATATTAATACTTTTTATCCATCCATAACGAGCAAAAACTTAGTACAGCACATCATGATAATCAGGCAGATTGTATGATAAATTGTAACCAAAATTTTATCTGATTTCATGCCAAACTGTTATCTTTAACTTTGATATGCTCTGAAACGACTTATCTAATGCACATTAGTCAAACTAAACTGAAAACGAGTACAACCCACTAAAAATCTTATGAACCTGTTTGAACTGAAGGATAACCAATTTGTACAGGTTTGTACCGAATGGGTCAAACTGGACGGGTCAAAATAAGGGGTGAATTGTTCAACCAGAGTAGCAAAAGTAAAGCTCACCTGGGTTCAGGGGTGTGTGGCTCCGTGCCAGTCTCCAGGAACAGGTGGAGACCGAGGTTGATATTACAACTTTGTTTGTCACAGGATTCTAGGTTAGTGGTCAATGTTACTTGTGGTGGCTAGGAAGATAAAGATCCTGCAGGATAATAGAGGTTTGGGAGTAACAGCGAGTCATGTGTTTTTCAGTGGTTTTAGTTGTTGATGCTCCGGGTTTACGCTGGTCAGTGTTTTATGAGTCCACTGGTTATGGTGGCGTCAGTGACCTCTTAACGAACAGTGGTGAATAGGAAAGGTTGCATGACCTTTTCACTGTTTGTTTCTTTTCTCTTTTTTTTTTTTTTTTTCCCTATGCAGGGTAAAAGTGGCAGAAAGTAGGAGTAAAAGTTGGGCTCTGCAAGTAACTGATGTAGGACGAATAGCAGTTGAACTAACTTGTCCTACAAATAATTTATTTATTTTTAAATAAACAAATAGTTTGAAAATAGAGAAAATTTAAGTGAGAAATAGAAGAATAAAGATAGACCAGAAGGAATAGAGATCAATATGAAGAAGTATAAGAGAAATATACTGAACCAGATATGTTAGACATAACAATAATCAAAAGAAGGAATACAAAGAAAAATAATAGAGAATAAAATCTAATAGAGAAATTTATAATTCATCATCGTCTATCCTTTTTCTTCTTGGTAACTACTAGCTGTTGTATGAACATTAATTACAACTAACAAAAAATTTATAAAAGAGATTTTCTAATTCCCATAATACTTAAAATCTACATAAATAGGAAACCAAAAATATTTTAATGCCTAAAAAAAATCTAAATAACTTAACATATGAAATAATAATAACTATTACAAAAAAATTCCTCTAATTGAAATTTGGTTCCAAAATAATATCTTGTTTTGCATCAGAGATTATGATATTGTTTATTATGAAACTATAGGGGAACTGATTTGAATTTTAAATTCAATCATTTTTTTTTTTTACTCTTGAACTTTTTGTAGGCCTCCACTTCTCCAACTTGACAAATAATTGAAACACAATTTTGTGTGTTCATGTCCTTTCTTCATGGTACGCGATTACATTATTGACCACAATGCATTTCCTTTGTTGTTATAGTAGTTGTTGTTGGTTTTCTTCCTGAATCAGATATCTTGTTTGGTTTTCTTCCTGAATCAGATATCTTGTTTTGTATTGTGCCGTCTTGATCACCATAACTATAATGCCCTATTATTTCTTTCAGTGCTAAATCAATCACATGGCTGGGAGCTTGGATGGAAGCTATAACCATGGTAGTCAATCAGATGACAGTTGTTATTTTGAGAGACTGCACAAAGAGCCTATTTATGATGCGTTTGTTTGCCCTCTGACAAAGCAAGTTATGTGTGACCCAGTTACTTTGGAGAATGGGCAAACTTTTGAACGTGAAGCAATTGAAAAGTGGTTCAAGGAATGTAGAGAGAGTGGCAGAAAGCCTGTTTGCCCATTGACTCTCAAGGAATTAAAAAGTACAGACCTGAATCCTAGTATAGCTCTGCGAAACACTATTGAAGAATGGACTGCTAGAAATGAAACTGCGCAGCTTGAAAGAGCTTGTCAATCACTGAATATTTCAAGTGCAGAAGGTGATATTTTGCTGGCTTTGAAGTATGTTCAGCATATCTGCCAGAGGAGCCAATCAAATAAACATGTTGTGCGTAATGTGGAGATAGTATCTATGGTTGTTGACATGTTGAAGAGTAGCAGTCGCAAAGTTCGGTGTACGGCTTTGGAGACCCTGCGGATTCTGGTGGAAGAAGATGCTGATAATAAGGTTGTCCGAGGTTTGCTGGTCTCTTTTACAACTATAATGACAATACTTTGATGATTTTAGTTCCTCTTGTTAACTGGATTTCAGTGTTATCCAGGCAATATTAGCCGAGGGGGATACTGTGCGGACCATTGTCAAATTCTTGTCTCATGAGCTTTCGAAAGAGAGGGAGGAAGCAGTCTCTTTGTTGTACGAGCTCTCAAAATCAGAAGCCTTGTCTGAGAAGATTGGTTCAATCAATGGAGCAATTCTCATCTTGGTTGGAATGTCAAGCAGTAAATCTGAAAATATTTTGACAGTTGAGAAAGCTGAAAAGACGCTGGAAAACTTGGAGAAGTATGAGAATAATGTAAGGCAGATGGCTGAAAATGGTAGACTGCAGCCTCTATCGGCATTACTCCTTAAAGGTGCTTCTGCTCCTCTATAGCTTTTTACATTGCATTATGTTTCTACAAGCAGTGTCCTTGACACTTGGTTGGTTTCAAATTTATTCTTTTTTCCTTATGGAAGTTATACCATGTGTCTATTTGAAAATCTCACTTTATTGATTTGTTGTTTGTATGACTTTTTTTTTTTACACTTTGCAATGATTAAAACAGAAGACATTAGAAGGATTGACTTCTTCCTGTAATCAACTATTAAAGTATGGAATTTTTGAGTTTAGAAGGCTTCAGGAGGCATTGTATTTTTCTCTTTTATCTGTCCCTCATGAGTTGCCTTTTTTTATTTTTCCTTTTTTCCTAGTTATCACTATTTCCCAGCGCAAATGTATTTTTACCATACAAGGTTACTTCTTTTTTGACATGTCATTGCTAACTGGTATGTTACTGATACATCTTCCCAGTCTTGGACAGTCTTGTTTCATGAAGTTTGTTGTTATCTTTATTTTTTTATAAAAAAAAATTAAAGACTCAGAAAGAAATGTGAAACATCTTCTGAATCCATTTGCAAATCTTTTCTCTTTATTCTAGTTTTAGCTCACAAAAATGTTTGCACCAATATAATGAGTTTCCGTTCTTTATAATGGCTGCAGGTTCACAGGAAACCAAATTGTCAATGGCTTCATTCCTTGGTGACCTGGTTTTAAACAATGACATGAAGGTCCTTGTGGCTCAAACTGCAGGTTCATCTCTCATCAATATTATGAAAAGTGGTAATATGCAGTCACGAGAAGCTGCACTGAAAGCTCTTAACTCAATTTCATCTTTTGAGGGAAGTGCCAAAGTTCTACTTGAGGCAGGAATCCTTCCTCCTCTTGTCAAGGACCTCTTTAGTTTTGGTGCCAATCAACTTCCCACTAGACTGAAGGAGGTGTCTGCAACAATTCTTGCCAACGTCGTAAGTTCTGGCTACGACTTTGACTCCATCTTTGTTGGATCTGATCATCAAACCCTGGTTTCAGAAGAAATAGTCCATAACCTGCTTCATCTAATTAGTAATACTGGTCCAGCAATTGCGTGCAAGCTCTTACAGGTTCTTGTTGGACTCACTAGTTATCCTTCCACTGTTCTGAATGTAGTTGCTGCCATTAAAAGTTCTGGTGCTATCATCAGTTTGGTTCTATTTCTTGAGGCTTCCCAAAAGGATTTGCGTGTAGCTTCCATCAAACTTCTCCAAAACCTCTCTCCTCACATGAGTCAGGAGCTAGCAGATGCCCTACGCGGCACAGCTAGCCAGCTTGGCACCCTAATCAAAGTCATATCAGAAAATATTGGAATTACTGAGGAGCAGGCAGCAGCAGCTGGCCTTTTAGCTGAACTTCCAGAGCGGGATTTGGGCTTGACACACCAATTACTAGATGAAGGTGCCTTTCAGTCAATCATTTCAAAAGTGGTTAAGATTCGGCAGGGAGAGGCTAGGGGCATCCGCTTTGTAACACCATTTCTAGAAGGGCTTGTACGGGTTCTTCTAAGGGTTACATTTGTCCTGCCTGATGAACCAGATGCTATTGTCCTCTGTCGTGAGTACAATCTTGCAGCACTGTTCATTGAACTACTTCAGTCCAATGGACTTGACAATATACAGATGGTTTCTGCCATGGCATTGGAGAATTTGTCTCAGGAATCTAAAAATTTGACAAACTTACCGGAGTTGCGACTGCCAGGTTTCTGTGCCTCAATCTTTCCATGCTTTAGCAAGCCCCCTGTTGTATTAGGATTATGCCCAGTTCACCGGGGAACATGCTCTTTGAAAGAAAGCTTCTGTCTTCTGAAAGGAAAGGCGGTGGAGGAGTTGGTGGCACTACTAGACCACACAAATGAAAAGGTGGTTGAGGCAGTACTGGCAGCGCTTTCTACTTTGTTAGATGATGGGGTAGATATTGCACAAGGAGTAAATGTCTTATATGAAGCAGAGGGAATTAAACCAATACTTGATGTTTTACTGGAGAAGCGAACGGAGAACCTGAGGAGTAGGGCAGTTTGGATGGTTGAGAGAATTTTGCGCACTGATGAGATAGCATTTGAGGTTTCTGGAGATCCAAATGTGAGTGCCGCACTTGTTGATGCATTCCAACATGCAGACTATCGAACTCGGCAGATTGCTGAGCGGGCCTTGAAACATGTGGATAAGATACCCAACTTTTCTGGAATATTTCCAAACATGGGATAGGCTCCATCCCGAGTTTGGTGAGTGCACATCATGTATTATTATTGTTCTTCTTGTCACAGGCAGTTTTGAGGCTGATGTATGGATATGATCTGCAAAGCATCAAACTGCCGATAAATGTATGTTGGTTATTGCATATTTTTAATTTGTAGAGTGTTTTGAAAGCCATTCATTTTCAATATTCTGCCTCACTAATTTCCATTTCTTCACGTGAATCATGGCACCGTCCTAGCAAATGTGCTGGTAGTTTCTTGTTGAATTAATTTGAAATGGGATTTGGTTGTAATTTGAGATGCTACTACATTAGGTTTTTGTAATCCCAACCAAATTTCATCTCAAATTAATTCCATTCGAGTTCTGATATTTGATTTAAATTTTTACCTTTCCAATCTCCGTTCTAATTCAGTCCAGCTCAGAATTTAGGTTCCTATTTCTAAACCCTGGAATTATAATTTAGGCTAGCTCGCTTGTTGACACTCTCGTTCACGATCACGTCTCTCATGATCTCATCTCATCATCACCACTAAAAATCCATCTTTGAGTTCTAATTCCACCCCCTGATTTCCCTCTATCTTCTGTTCATCATCTCATCTCATCACCACCTCTAAAACTCCATCTTTTAAGTCTAATTTTCTGCCGCCACCCCCCCCTCTGATTTCCCCGTCTTATGTTAATGACCCCATCTCATCATCACTTGTCCATCTCAGAGTTCTTCCCATTTTCTGTCTCCTTCACTATTTCATCCTGTGTACAACTTTCTTTGTTTCATCTCATTTGTCAAGCTCAATAGATGAAGCTTCAAATGCATGTTTGTTCTAGTTGGTAGTTGCTAATGACAGCATTTCAGATTTTACTTCGTTCGGTCACTGATCTCTTAACACGGCAGTATTTGAATTTAGTTTTGCAAATAACAGAAACTTCTGATATCTTGAGTATTTTGTGGTGAAGAAGATTGATATCGGGGCCAAAGAAGATTTACTTGTCTCTCTTGTTTAGGTTAGTCGTGAGCTTGCTTCCAGGGTGCCTTCCAACTTACTGGTTCTCAATTTGTTCACCTTCGAAAATGCAACTCAGACCGGTTCAAGATGAAAGGAAATACATCTGAATATGTGGTGGCGGCTCATTGTCACATTTTGTTAAACACAATCATAGGGGACATGATATAAAATTAAAAAAAAAAAAAAAAAAACTCTTCTAAAGAATGAGAATAAACATATAAAATTTATGTAAGATTAGAATTCCTTTCGATAACAAACTGTTTATGATGTGTGCATTAAGAACCTTTAAAAAGAGTATCCTGGATTCAAAAAGTTACATGAAACACAAGATCCATAGTCCATGGAACTTGGCAAATAACGGAGGTGAAAAAGTTACATGAAAGCGATGAACAATGAAGGGGATCAGAGACAATGGACATGTTTCAATTTCATCAAATCCAAAGAATTCAATAAGAAACTCGGAGGTCACAACATGCATCCAAAATCTCCTCATGAGTGCAAATACATACCTAAAATTGTCGGCAATAAGCTCAGTTTGCAGAGTTAACTAAAGATGTAACAGAGCCATTGTTTTTGTCATGCATGAAGATGCATCAAGTTCATGAGTCATGCGGTTTCTCGAAATATGTCTCCAGTTTGTTCTCATATCAGACACATCATATACAGTCCAGAAGTCCAACAACTGACCAAATATTTTGAACATTTCAACTCCAAATATCAGATTCCTGTCTGCAACAAATGCAGCATTCCAGTCCATTGGGGCATCAGGATGCACAGACACCTCAGACCAGCTAAGATACATAAGATCTAGCTCCCATAATTTCCTAATAGCCTTGTTTCTCCTGCCAATCTGACCATCTCCTTCACACCATGAGACACAAAGCATGAATAGTCGCCCATTACCAGACACAAGCTTTGGATAGTATTCATGAACCCGAGGAGGAAAAGGAGAGGTTTGAATTCCAATCCAAAACCCCCTTTCTATGTCATAACCTGCCAGTTTATCAGTCTCAGAATAAACATAAAAAATTCCATTACAAACAATCCCTGAACAAACAGATCCAAAATCTATAGGCAGCTTCTGGATTTCGGTCCATTTATTTGATGCAGAATCATAGATTTCTCCTGAGTCCAGACTCTCATCCCAAGATCCAAGACCGCCTACAGCAATCAGCACAAATCTTTTGGAACCCTTCGTGTTTGACTGATCACTTTTCTGTCTCGTGTACTTGTGTGATTTTTTGCATGGCATGGATGAAGCCTCATTTTCATCAAAACCACTTCTTTGTTGGCGTCTTAAGGAAATCCTGTGAGGATCCCCATAAACATCGGACACCCCACCAGTTCGTGACCTTGGGAAACGCCTATCCTGCTGGTTTTGATGACTTTGAATGATCAAGAAATCTGAACCAACCTCAGATATTCCCAAAATAGGCATTGACCTTGCATACCTCATTGATGCAATTTTATGCCAAGATTTAGTTAAAGGACTAAACACTAATACTCCTTTATGTGTCTTGAATGAGCTTCTATCAACCCTACCAAAGTTTGTCAAACTAGAACAACCTCCAACAATATAAATATCATCTTGGATACTGGCAACAGAAAACATGAACCTTTCCTTTCAGGATGCCAGCATCAATTCTATGCCCTTGTCCTTGAGATACATCCAATGCGTGAATCTCCCCAGAGCAATAGCCATCTCTAACAGCACCAAAAAGAAACAACCATGGATTCTGGTGAGAACCTTCTCGTCTCATCTGCAGGAACCGGGAAGTAGAAGTCAAGTATCTCCATTTCTTGCACACAAGACGAGCATTCATGAGACTGGTCAATGGCAGTCTCACCAAACACATCTCCAGAATATCATCTGGAAGAAAAATGTGCATCCTGCTATTTCGAACTGACTCCTCAAGTTGCAAATATTTTTTGTTACTTTTCTTCCAAAACTTCTCCTTCACACCATAAGAGAAGCAATCCACTCCAGTTTCCTCATTACCACATATAACTTTGTATCCTTTCCCTTCTTCACTGGCACTTGACTTCCTTCTACTATTTGGATCCCCAAATTCCTCGCTTGTGGCAGCTCCTACTTTGCAGCCACCACCTCTGCCGTATAGAGCAAGACAGTTGAGAGAAATCCTTCTTGTAATTGCTTCTTCCTCTTCTTCACTCCTGCGGTTCTTCTTTCTTAATTTTTGACTGACACTTCTCACTAGCCGTTTTGAGATGCTCAGCACTTCAAAATCCTGATGAAATGATTCTTCTCCTGTCAGCTTCTCAGAAAGCATTCTGTTATCTAATCTTTTGCAATCAAAAGCATAAAGCCCATTTCTTTCGTTCGACGTCTATTGATGATGATATTTGGTGCTCAGCCTGTATTCTATCATCCATCTACAGAAAGAAACCCAGATAAATTATGTCCAACCCTCTTAAAGAATTAAAAACACCATGAAGCAATTCAGCAACAGCACAATTAGGATTATCTAAATACATCAATGTTGTGTAAATAGAAGGGAAATGCATACTGATTGAACAAGAAAAAGATTCTGGTGATTCATAAACAAAAGAGAATATATACATGACTCCCACATATATGATTAAAATAACAAGAAAAAGTTACCTCTATCACAAACCCTTTTTGCAAAATCATATCTACTTCTGCCGAATTTTTCAATTAAAATTTAAAAAGTAAATGGACAGGAAAGGAATTCATATTAAGCTTGAGACTGTAGACGCAATACTCTTGCTTTTCCAACTTTCCCAAGAACCATAAGGAAAAAAATTTACTATAAATATTTCTTAAACACATTGGAACAGAATTACAATAAAGATAAAGAATTTAGCTATAAATATTTCTTAAAATGCAAGCCGTCTCAAATGATCACAGTCTACGGAATTTTCACGCCCGTAAACTAAGTGGAAGAAATAATTCAACTAGGGTAGCAAATATGTGAAATTAAAAGGTAATTAGAGCAAAAAATCTGATTTTAAGTTAGAGGATTAATTACATTATATTTCAAAGCAAATCCCGGTAAGATTCACCAGTTTTTGTACCCAAAAAAAAGAAACACCGACTTGCAGGTAAAAGAAGGACGCAAAATCCAATTACCTTGATAAATGTTTCGTGATCAAGATAAATTCCACAAGTCAAATCAGGAACAGTCAAGGTACCACAACAATTCGTTCAAAATGAATCCTCATTTCAGATTTCCTCAAATGAGATACGAAACAAATAACAAACGAAAACTCAAAAAACGAGGCAGCAATAAATGCTAAGAAACGCAAATACATCATATCGGCTTCAAAGGAAAAAAAAAAAAAAAAATTGCGCGGAAAAGCTCCCTCAACAGCCAATTTAAGCTAATCTCACAGCACAAAATCTGAAGGTTTTCTCTTCTTCCAACTAAATCTCTCAGTAACACACCGCGTTCCTTTACCAAAAATTCAAATCCGGTAAGAAGAAACGAAACTTACATTGCACGAACAGAAACACAAACTTCCGCACTAAATCATCCGGAACTGCTCCTCATAAATCAAAATCTGAGAAATGACAAACCAAATCCTCACTTTGAAGAGAAAATTTTCAAAGCCAAAACGCTAAATCTCAGATGAGATTCACGGTTTCAAGACTCAATATGCCGATTTTGCGACATTTTCCATTGACCTGTATTTTAATACAACGGGATCGATCACGGAAGAGAGAGAGAGAGAGAGAGAGAGAGAGAGAGAGAGTGTGTGTATGTGTGTCTGCACTCTTGTTTTTATTTCTCTCCCCAAATAATAAAATATTAAACCGGAAAAAAAAAAATTACGTTCTGGTTGGTCGGTCTGGAATTAGTAAAGCGACGCAGCACTGATTAAAAAACACAGCCTTTGTTTTGATTCCGTACGGGCACTTTTAGCCGGGCATCATATCAGGTGCGCCGGGGTCCGTTGATTATAAAATTGTAGACGTGTTGAGAGCCGTCGGATGGGACGGACGGAGCACGTGCGAGATTTAGCGTGTGGAGTGGAAGGAGCGGGGGATGGGGGAGTGGCAATGAGTGAAATTCGGAGGGTTGTTAGATGGTGGACCCCACGGGGGTTCGTTGATTTAGTCAAATGTAAAAATATGATTATCCCATCAAAAACCACTCCCCGCTGCAGTGGCTTCTCTCGTATTCATCGCAAAAGATTTCTCCATAATTGTTTTTTTTTTTTTTTAATTTTTAAATAAAATACTGGCCGTTAAAAAATAAATAAATAATATATATTTACAAAATTTTTTAAAATTTTAAATAAAATATAAATTATTAAAAAATAAATAAATAAAAAGTGTACGACTATGCTACAACATAACGTGCCTTTTCAGACATACCAACAAGCAAATCATGAAATTTCACAAAAATAAAAAAGTGCATTCCAAATTGGCTTCTAATCTTGGAATACATTACGCTCTAATCGGACGGCCTGGATTTAGGACCGCACTCCGCTCCGTGTGGGGCCTACCCCACCTACATAAATCGGGCCCCACAACCTGCGTCTAGTGTACTTTGTAATTTATTTATTTATTACTATTATTAAAATTGTACTTATTAGATGCTAAAAATTAATTACCTATATATATATTGTGTGTCAAAACGATAATATAAAGAAAAATATAATTTATATAATAAAAATTAATTTTTATAAACTAAATTAAATTTATAGTAATTGAAATTTTAAAAAAGGTGCATGTATTTAGGGTACTCTAATCTATTAATTAACGTGTAGAGTAATTATGATTTTTAATTTTGAATTAATCATCATGGCATAATTAGGTTTTGAAAATTTGTTATAATCTAATTCTTAAAATTACAAATTATTATTATTATTATTTTATACAACCATAATAAAGTGTGACAGAATATTACCACAATTTTTATTTATTTATTTTATATAAAGTTTAAAAATTATAAATAAATAAAGATCAACTTTATTAGACTTAACGAAAATAATTAAGTTAATTTATGTAGAACAATACAAACGATGATAAAATTAATTATGGAATAAATAAATATACGTTATAATTTTTTGAATTTGTTTAATCATAATACTAAATAGAATGATTGTAATTTTTGTAACTTTTTTATGTTTTGTGAATAAAAAAAAATTATTAATTTTTTATACTTATACAAAAACTTTTACTAAAAATTATATTTTTTAAGTGATTTTATATGATTAGGAACCAAATTAAAATAAATATATATACTTAATTGCAACATAACATATAACTTTAGGGCTAAAAAGCAAGTAATTTATACCAATCTAAAATTTTTCATTTAATTTATTAATAAAATTATAATAATCAAATTAAATTTCAAGCAATAAATTATTATGAATCTAACTTTATAAATATTTTAGTTCTTAAAATAACATATAGTTTTTTAAAATAATATAAAAAAAATACGAGTCAATATAGAAAACATATATATATATGTATAAGAGCTTAAATAAAAAAGTTTAAATGGTAACTATTTATGCCAATCTAAAATTTGTTGTTTAATTAATGAAATTTTATATATTGATTTTAATTATTTTGTAGCTTTAAATATTTAGAATTTAATACACATGTTATAAATTAAAAAATAATTAAAATTTTAATTTATAATTTAATTCATTAATATATTAATAAAATTATAGTGATTAAATTAAATTTCACCGCTACAAGTTATTATAAATATTTTAGTTCATAAAATAACATGAATTTTTAAAATAATATAAATAAATAAGAGTCAATATGGAAAAAATATATATATTTATATGTATGTATGTATAAGAGCTTAAATAAAAAAGTTTAAATGGTAAATGTACTATTTTACTATTTAAGCTTAAAAAAAATATTAAAATTGAAAATCTATTGAATGAGCCGCAGGCCCATAAAGGCCCATACCTGGAGTCTTCTCTGAATTAAAACAGACGTTTCTTGTTTCCATGGAGAGAGAGAGAGAGAGAGACCGGGAGAGGCGAAATCGGAGGAGACGAAGATGGCAGGGTCAATAACGTGGCTTGTGATGCTATTCGTCATCTTCTCAGTAGCTGCTTGCATCGAAGACAAATGTGCTGCTTGTAATGCTGTCGCGGTAACTTAATTTCTCTTTGAAATTCTCATTTCTTCTCGATCTTGTCTTCTTAGTTAATCGTAACTAATTGAATCACACTCGAATCGAGCGATCAGTGTTACGAGAATTTTCATTTATTTATTTTAATTTTTTGCATTTCTTATTAATATATAATTTCGAGTTTACTCGATCGAGTATCGGTAGATGATTGAATCGTTAAGCGTGTTTCTCGATGTCTCACTTCGATTAAACTAAAGAAACATTGGATGTAGTGTTTACAAGGCGAAATGTTTCATGTTGCAAAGAGAAATGAGATTGCCAATTAGTATTCATCTCATTGTGTTTGAATTTATGTCCTCTTACTCACGTTCAATTTGTTGTGCAAGGAATGTTGCAATTATAAACTTAAGAAAACTAGTTTATGAGTGCCCTATTAATCCTATCCCTTTGTGTAATCTTGATGGTTCGAAGGGCAGAAAGACCACAAGCACTTTTCTTTTCTTTTTTTTTTTTTCTGGATTTGCAGTTTATTTTCTTAACATTTTTAGTTATTTAGTTACTACCTACGTTTAACTTAAATACGACACTTAGTTTATATTATGATAAGAATTCTATCGAAATGCATATATTTTCTAAATTAGAACAAACTGATGCTTGAAGTACCTTATTTATTGGCGATTCCATATACGCTAAGTTCCTTTAGTGCTGGGGTCTGATGCCATGCAGGAGGAGCTGGAGCTTCAACTTTTGAAGGTAAGAACTTTACTCTTGGCCTTTTGCATACTAGGCTTTTTACCATATGAATGTTCTAATGCAGTCTGTAGCAGTTTGCAGTGTTTAGAAATAAACAGTAATTGACATTCTTTATAGGAGAACCAGAACCATTGGGATATGAGACATCGCTGATTCAAAGTCAGCGTAAGGGAGGTATGATACAGGTAC